CTGAACGGTTAGCGTTTTTAAAAATTGTTTTTATATATTTATTCTAGGGAATACAGGAGTTTTGGAAACGACCAGGCAAATAGATTGGCTGGTTATACACCAATGGGTAGTGATTTTATACATGGCAAGCTAGGTGTAACCAATGCTCTTTGGGAGCGAGTGAGCAATGCGAAGCACGAATAGATCATTATGGTCTTGAAAGAATGGTACATGTAAGATGATCTGGTTGATACTCTACACTCGGAGGAACGGCAAGATAATCATATAATCAAACTTTCCTCGAAGTCGGAGTACATCTGCTCGTGAGGCAGAGAACGGCAAAAGCCAGTAAAACGGTTGTACACGCAAAACTCAGGTCCAGGTAAAAGCCAAAAGTTCAAGCGGACTATTAACCGGGACCTTCCACCGGAATTCACAGCCGGTGAACGAAGAAGAAGAAGAAGAAGAAGAAGAAGATATAATCAAACTGCTGCTGGCACCGTCGCAACTGGAACTCTTCGATTGCTGCTGCTTATGGGTATTTCCAAGTGCTGTGTTGACAGTTCTTAGCACAACACTACCAGAGAATTAAGTGAGTGAGTAAAAAAAGAAAAAAAGTAAAGGACCCTTTTCCACACCTTCAGACGTATTGAGCAAATAGGGGTAGCCGTATATTTTATAGACCAATTGGCATTCGGTGGGTGATATTATCAGCATCCTGCCGGTCCCAGAGGAGACACACCGATCGATCAATCTAACTGACTGACTCTTTACTCCACCAGGACATCACACTGAGAGATTAACACCCGGTAATACAAAATGCTACAATTCGGATGAGGATCACCGGTGGAGAGGTCCTGGAAACCCTGTTCAACGTTAGGTTATGTTAGGGCCCCGGGCAACAACCAGAGTGGGGCTTCAAAATAACGAAAAATTAGTCAAACACAAGGACGAAGATTAATTGATATTGGTCAATCTGGGATAAGGAGGTCAGTCCGTGCCGTGTGAATTGGGTTGCAGCTGTCATGTATTCACGTCAGGTTGCTTTTCGACTGGGCTCATGGACTTCATAACCATGCAGTTTGGCAACAGGACTGCCACAGGGATCCGCCATCTCGCCTGTGTTCTTTAACGTGTATACGAGCAAGATTGCAAGCCTAAAAGCACCAGGAGTTGGAAGGACACCGACTTTTGCGGATGATATACTTGCATATAGGCAGGGGAAGAGAGGGAACAAACAGTCTGGGAGCTACAAGCGACAGTAGACAAAGTGACTCAGTGGTGTACAGAAATGAGGGCTGTCGTCCACCTGGAAAAGGCGTTTGTTTTGTGGTGTTCTCTGGACAACAGGATCGTTAAAACTAATGTCCCAAGTCTCACGATAGATGATAAGAGTCGTCAACAGAGAGAGCAAACTGAAGTATCTGGGAATTACATTTGACAAGAGCCAGTCATTTAAGGACCATATAGTGAGTGTTGTGACAAGATGCCAAAAAAGGACTTAGTGCACTTAAGACTATGGCTGCACTTGATACAGAGCGGAAAATGCTTTTCACACTATATCAGCACCCGATCCTGTCAATGGTTGATTATGGCCTTTGACTGTTTACCGTCTTAAAGAGTCAGATGGACAAACTAGAGCGCATACAGAACGCAGCTATGCGGCTCATTCTGGTTTGCACTAGAGACACCCCAGTGGTGTGTATGCGATACATCCTTCGTTTGCTTACTGTTGCAGGTAGGCACAAGGTGCTGCGGGCGAAGTCATATCTCAGGGTAGCTGCAGACACAGACCACCCTTTGCACGAAGTTCTGGGTGCAGTTTAGGGTCAGTGGCTGATAAGACGTATGTCATGAATGGCTCAGGCAGAAGACACAGTTGGATATGCAGATAGAAAAAAAATTCGTCAAGTGGATCGCAGCAGCGCTATTTGAAAGAACAGTGTCGCTTCGATGTGGTGAATAGGCATCCGAATCTCAACGCGTCCTAATGGGTCTGCCTCAGGGATCACCATTGTCGCCTGTGCTCTTCAATGTGTACACAGCAGGAGTCACGAGTGCACCGAGCGTAGGCCTAGGTAGAAAAATGTCGTATGCAGATGATATCTTTGTTTACCGTCAAGGTAAAAACAGGCAGGAAATTACAACCACACTACAACACGAACTAGACAGACTTAGTGAGTGGTGCCAGGAATCAAGAGCTCAGGTGAACCCGTCCAAAGCCACCTTAACATGGTTCTCTCTGAATACCCACATCGTTAGTACATCAACGCCAGTCGTAAGCATATATGGTGTGGACATCGAGAGAACGGACACCATGAAATAGTTGGGCATGACATTTGACAGATGCTTGTCATACAAATGCCACGTAGACAACGTCATACTTAGAGCCAGGAAAGGTTTGACAGCACTCAAGGTGCTAGCAGCAGCTGATATTGAACAACGCCTACTTTTCCTTCTCTATCAAGGGCTTTTGCTTAGCGTCATTGACTATGGTCTTGCCCTCCTCACTGTCAGCGAAACCCAGCTAGAAAGACTGGACCGAGTACAAAATTAGGCCATGAGAATCATACTCGGCTGCACAAAAGACACCTCCTGCAACACCATGCGTTATGTCCTGGGTTTGCCGACGATTACTAGCAGATACAAAGTGGCACAGGTCAAGGCTTACATGAGGGTATCGGCAGACGTTAACCACCCATTGCACAAAGCTATACACGCTCTTGAATGGCAAAGGCTGAGGATTTAATCCAGCAGGTATGTGATCTAGACGTGATCAGTCACGGAAAAGAATGGACGAATACACCAGTAGACATGCATGGCATCTCTAAGGTTGTCATCACACTCGGAAGGTACTGCAGGGATCAAATTCAAGGGAACTGATAGATCAGCATTCAGACCCAGAAGATATCATCATCTACACAGATGGATCCGTGAAGCGGATCAAGGTCACCATGGGCATACACAGCGCAAAGAAGGGGGAAAACAATACACGAGGACAGCGGCGCTTACCAGACAACCACGTCAAGCATGACAATGGAAATAACCGCTGCTTCTAGAGCTTTAGCGTGGGTATCTGAGCAAACCACCACACAGGCAGTAATTGTCTCAGACTAAATGAATATGCTTCAGAAGATAGCAACAGGCAGTATGCGCTCTGAATGGATAGAAAGCATTCGGAAATCGCACTTAACCTCCGTAACCTGGATCTACAGACCGGGTCATGCGGGCGTAAAGGGAAATGAGCGAATGGACCAACGGGCAAGCACTGCACTAAGGATTGCGGGGAAAAACATGGGCAGAGCAGATATCGTCAACGCTGTACGAACTGGACTAGTGGAGAATGAGGAATCCCTGACATTAACACGATTGCGTGACATGGGAGTTAAGCATGGTGATGCACGACTTTGCCGTCTTCGGGGCCGAGAAAGGAGACGATATAACCAGCTTCTCATGGGGACAATTAGTAGAAGTACTTTGGAGTGGCTGCTGCTTCGGAGAACTGAGCACGCATGGGTATGTCCAATGTGCAGTGACATCAAGTGTGATACAAAACATAAAATAACATCTTGTAGGGAGTCAGCAGTCCGTAACCCAAGTTCAAGGTGTCTCCTTCGTGCCAAAGAACTGCATGGCTGTTGGGTGAACAGTCGTTAACGAAGGCAGGCAGGTCATTGTAGGGGCGACGCCTGCTGGTGGATGTAATGTCCTAAGTCCCTTCTCCAGCTAATAATGAGGGTACTGCTGGGGTGACCGTTTATTAGCCCCCATATAATGCTTCAGGTCAAAATGGAGGCTAGGCACGGGCACCTTTTTTTATTTTTTTTTAAATTTTCCTGCCAGACGGTGGCCGTTGCATTTTTGCTCCATTTGTAGACTGGAAGGATATAGTTTCGTCGCCCAGCTTCTGAGTTGAGTGCATGGCGTGACACTGTGAGGAGTGGAGCAACTATGGGGTGCTATGAAGCTGAAACTAGGATTACCAGAAGACACAGTCTGACAGGTTTGCATCCCTGAAAACATTAAGCGAGGAGAGGAGTGGGTCAAAGTGCCACCTGAACAGTTAGTCGTGTGTAGGGTCATAATCACACTGAGCCTGGAAAGCAGAGACTGGCCAGCAGGTGCCACAGAGGTGGAAATTCAGCAGTTAATTCAAGATAATGCTCGCTCAGAAGATTTGATAATTTACACAGACGGTTCAGTGTCAAGAGGCAAAAAAAAAGTGCTTGGGGCTTCTTAGCAAAAGTTAATGGTCGACGTTTAATGCAGGAGAGCCTAGTATATGATACTACAACATCTAGCTTAAGAATGGAGGCGGAGGCGGTCATTGCAGCTTTCCGCTGTCTAGAGAACACGACACACACACACACACACACACACACACACACACACACACACATATTAACTGTAACTGACTCGAAAGCATGCTGATTAGGATCAGGACAGGCATGCTTCGTGCAGAGTGGCATGCCTCGCTGCAGAGGACACAGTTGAGGAGCATTGTGTGGATTTTTTCACCAGGGTACGCCGGTGTGTTGGGAAATGAACAGGCGGACAGATTATCTGGCTTTGCACAGCTTATTGGAATACTGATTCATGATAGGGCAGACGTGGTTAGTACCTTGTGGGAGAGCGTGTACAATTCGGAGGAGCAGATAGATCACCACAATCTGGTGACATTGATGCCGGGGGCAGTGACGAGAGGTTTTGGCAGATGCTCGAGGCTCAGAGAAAAGGCTAGACGGACGTTTAATCAGAATGCTACTGGCACCATTAGTTTCGGAACTCTTAGCTGGCTGCTGAAGATGGAGACATAGCTCTTATGGGAAATACTCCCGAGTGCCGTGATGTCGGTTCTTGAATCAAATCAAATCAATCTGGGATAAAAAGAGTTAAGTAAGGGAGCCTATTCTCACAAGAAAGTTTCCGAAAGTCTCTGTGTGGGCAAAGTGTGTCCTAGCCCTAGCAGTAGCATTCAGTCGGAGTGGCGGACAGGTGTAAGACATGTAGGAGGATTTGAAATGTTTTCCCTCAGCTTAAGCGCATCAATTAAATTTATATTAATTTCTCTTTTAGTGCTCAGCGTATTTCTTTATGTGGCTGCATCAAATGGCGACCGATCTTTCGTATTCGGCAAGTGTTTTGAAAGTTGCTATTATCACCTGTGCTCAAATCATACCAGATTTAAACTCACACAACCCTTGCATCTCAGGCTGCTGTCCTGGTCGTGTGTGGATGAATGCAATTATGCTTGTATGTGGGACACTGTTGAGGCCTTTCAGAAAGATGGCAGCCGAATTCCACAATTCTTTGGAAAGGTATATTGTATATGTGACGATTAAAAAAAAGTTATAGTTCTTCTTCTTCTTTACTTCTTCTTCATCTGCTTATTTTGTTCTCTTGAAATAGAGTGCTTATATCTGCAGTATACTATTACTTTTATTATCTTTTTCGGTACTCCTGTCAAATTCGGACGAAGAATAAACAGCCTTGGACGACTTAGTCAGAGTTCTCTCCCGTGGCCACACTCCAAACAGTGATCGGAAAAGCCACAACGAAACAAAGAAGACAGTCACGTCTACATCAGGGCTGCCAATGCTTGGTTGTTTCCCCCAGATCTGGGTTTTTTTCCGACGCTGCAGGACAATTCTGGTTTTTTTTGGGTGTGTTTTGTTTGTTGGTGTTTGCCGAATTGTATGCTTTAATGATCGATAAATTTGCGTGGTTAGGGGGTAGGGGTTAGGGAGTAGGATTAGGGTTAGCGGTAGGGTTAGGTTTAGCGTTAGATTTGACAATTTTGACGCCGGAGTTCCCTATAATCGCGCACAGTCCCATACACACACACAAACAATCGAGGGCCTCTGGATGCTGGTCAAACGCACAATTCGCCAACGATTGGGGGCACCAGCCGCACGCTATTGGCGTCATATTTGGCAGAGTTTCAGTGGCGCCACTCCCACAAACATCATATTGTCGGCCAGTATTTCAAAATCCTACGTCAAAATTTTCACATCTAACCCTAACCCTACCCCTAACCCTACCCCTAACCCTAACCCTTAACCCTAACCCTACCCCTAACCCTACCCCTAACCCTAACCCTACCCCTAACCCTAACCCTACCCCTAACCCTACCCCTAACTCTAATCCAACCAACAACCGCATGATGATGACTACACAACCATTCACAATGCCTCACGCAACCGTCCGCAACCCTGCACGCAACCATATGATGATGCCACGATGCCTCACGCAACCGTACGCAGCCCTACACGCAACCGCAGGATGATAGCTAAGTGTGTCGTTTGTTTCGTTTGTTTTCCGATCACTGTTTGGAGTGCGGCCAAGGGAGAGAACTCTGACTAAGTCGTCCAAGGCTTTTTATTCTTCGTCCGGATTTGACAGGAGAGCCTCTTTTTCTTCCCTTTCACCAGCTGTAAACGCTGACGGAAAGTTCTGGATGTTCGTCCACTTCTGGACTGCAGTCATGTTCCAGAACCTAAGTGTTGCGTATGCATCCATTTACATATCTGATTCATTTGTGTGCAGACTGCTGGTTTTTTTTGCCTCTCAGGCAGATGTACTCAGACTTCAAAGGTAGCTCCCAGTTTGTCAACTCTTAGCACATGCTTTTGGGTCAGCACTGGGTCTTTTCTTGTTTTCCCTATAATAGGGCCCTGAAACCCACACAGAGAGCCTTTATTATGAACTTCACTGTTTTTTTAATTCACTCAGTGGCTTCCACAGTTTTTTTTTGTTGTTGTTGCTATTTTCCGAATAACGGTCCCAAATTATCGAGGCAGAAAATATACCCTAACAGGACCTCAGTCACGTGTCAGTTGCGAACTTCCGGGGACTGTACCGCCACTGCCGAATTGCGCACTTCCGCCACCGCCGAGAGTATCCCCCATGCCACGTGAGCGGCGTGGATTGGGCTAAACTAGATGGCTGGGACTCACGAGCAAATAAAATGAAGGCAGCTGCAGGAAATGCGGTAGCTGCTGCTCGTGAGTCCCAGCTATCTAGTTTAGCCCCAATCATGCGGCGTGGGGAATACTCTCGGCGGTGGCGGAAGTCGCAGGAAGTGCGCAATTTAATCACCGGAAGTGCGCAATTGACACGTGACTGAGGCCCTGTTAGGGTATATTTTCTGCCTCAATAATTTGGGACCGTTATTCGGAATAAAGCTGTTTTTGTTGTTGTTTGGAACAGGACAGTCATACAAGAGGACATAAGTACGGGTACTGTTCTCTCAGGTGCCCTTCGGCATGTGGCTGATTTGCCAATCTTAAATTTTGTGTACATGCAGCTGCGAAGTCGATTGTGCACTGTTCTGAGGCATAGATTAAAAAAAACAGTAACATACATGAAGTCTTCAGTGGTAATTAACATTAAAATGTTACAATGAAACATCTGAACTAACGTATTGAATACTACTAGTACTCCAGTATACTCTGAATCCATATGCTTTGACTTAATACGTTCAATTTAGGATTTGCGTTGCTCTGTGTTAGTGCACACCTGCAAGAGTACAAAGTTCAGTTCCACAATAAAACAATCAAGTGTCCACTACTTTCTAAGGACAACTTACTACTTACAAAACGCTGTATTATGTCTTTGAAACCCACAGGTTTTTGTAAAAATGGGAATGTTTGTGTTGAATTATTTACATTATCCCTTTTAAGTGAGAGATGAGCTTCCTAACCTCTCACTGTTTCCTCCTCATGTATCAGTATATCATAAATTATTTCCTTTTTACTGTATCCTCTGTGGTTTGGCACCTAGATGCTTGCCTATGGATCGGAAGGTCATGGATTCAGGTCCTCACAAAGCTGGACTTTTTTTTAAAAATCCCCTTGACTCGCAGATCGACCCAGCCTTAAATGGATACCAGGTACAGTCCTGGCAAGTAAAGGCTGCCAGCATAATGGTAACTATATAATTCACAGAGTGCTGATTGGTCGATAACATATAAATCTTCCCCTATATGTCCTGTATGCCTAAAGGTGTGGAAAGGGATCCTTTAATTTGGAGGGGGGTGGTTTTGTTTTAATTGTTTCATTTTTTAAAAATAATTTTTTCTTTTCTGGTGTGTTAACTTTTATATCCTGTGATCACCATCAAATTTTGTGGATTCTCATTTTATTTTTGTTTATCTGCAGTGGCCTTTCATCAGATTTGCTGGAATTCAGGAACCAGCATCAATGGTATTCTCCCTCCTAAATGCAGCCTCTCATCTAGCCATTTTTCATTATCGGTCAAAGGTACCACCTTCAGCTGAGATGTACATAGTGTGGCATGGAATGGCTGTTGTAAGTAAATATCTTAGCTCCTGCTGTGTTGTTGATCATTGCCTTGAGCTGAAGGAGTCATATGCAAGATCATGCCATTACCAAGAGCTGATCAGTTCATAGCTCCCAATCATTGTTGTTATCTTCATTCCTAGTGTGGATTCCGGCGACCTATTTTAGGGGAAAAAATAATAGACCGACTGCCTCTCAGATGCAAAGTGAAGTCATGCAAGTCATTTTGGGTTGTGCATGGGTCACACCAATTGTATGCATGCGGGACACACATGCATTGCTGTCCATATACGAAAGACACAAGATGTTACAGTTTAAAATATACCTTAAAGTCGCAACAACCAAAATTCTCTACATAAGGGCTAGGAACACGGCAAGGGGCATCAGCATTGCGGTAGCTCCTGGATGGCAAAGGTTGAAGTCATGATCAGAACTGTTTTTGCTACTGACAAAATAGCACATGGTAGGGAATAAGTTACAGTGCCACCCAGCAAAACAGACGCACAACCTGATAGTTGCCTTGGACTGAGGGTGTCGGGAGTGGATAGCTGGTGAAACAGACGTCGGTGCAAGAGCTGATCAAGGAAAATTCACACCCAGGAGAAAATGGCGCAATGCCTGTCGTTCAATGCTTGCGGGACCCGTATTAAAATTGATCACGTGGACAACTGCTGATCTGTTGACGACAAGTTCTGCTATCATCAATGATGAACTGCATTTCTAATGTTGGACTGTTTGTGTTAGCACTTCGGATGGCTACCATATGCTCTAATGCGAGAGTATGCTAGATATGCTGAGACAGCAGTCTGTCAATCTTTCCACAAGGGACTGTGATAGACATTCTGAGTGTTTTTCGCTGGCACAGGAGCGGAGCAAAGATGGGGCAACCCGTTTGCTATGAAGCTGAAACTAAGACTACCAGACTACCAGACACCCAGGAGACATTATATACACATATGGATCTGTAGTGAAAGGTAAAATAAGTTGGTGGGGTTTTACTGCAAAGGTTGATGGGCACTGTTTGAAAACAGAGCCTCATACATACGGTCACAACATCCAGTATGAGAATAGAGTTTGGTCATTTTAATAGACTCACAGAGCGCGTTTCAGAAAATAGAAACTGGTGTCCTACACATAGAGTGGCTTGCTTGACTTTATAAGACTGATCAGGAGCGTATCATGGAGTGAGGAATTTCTAAAAAGAAGAACTATTTCTTTGGTCCCTGGTGAGTTCTCGTTATCAGGTCTGCACTGTGTTTAGAAATTAACTTTCCCTGCATAGAAAGTAAGTTGTAAATGTTTCTATTGATTCTCGCATCTACAGATGGGAATTGTTGCCTGGCTTTGTGCAGCAGTGTTTCATACACGGGACACCCCTGTGACAGAGGTCAGTTTTAACATCTTTCTGTGAAAGGGTAAAGTAGTCATACAGTAGATACCATGGAAATATATCAGTTGAATTGAGAAGTACAACTATTCTGCTTTACATTATCACAATCACAAATGAACGTTGGGGCCTTTACTTTTTTTTACCATTAATGTTTAACATGACCAAAATGTCTCTTCTTTCCTGACAGGATGCCATTTATGAGCCAATTCTCCTCACTGTTCAGATCATGTGATGTCCGTATATTACTTCTGCTTGGTCCATAGTATTCTAAGAATTTTTCTGTAGCATTTCAGTTCCAGTGCTCAGATTTTGTTTGTCTGTAATTATTGAGTAATAGTCCATGACTCAGACTAGGTTTTCATGGAAAAGAGGCATGGTCTAACAAGTTTTTACTTCAACTTATTTAGACATGCTGTACCGTAGGTAATTCATGCTGTTTAATCTCAGCTCTACATGGCAAGTCTTTTTCTGTCTTTTTTCTGCACTTCTGAGCCAAGATCTTCAAAATCTATAACATTTTTTATTTCTTCATTATTGATTTAAATATGTGCTTGGCATGATGTGTTTACTGTGGACAGTATTAATTTTTTTCAAATTCAGAAGAAGAAGACAATAGACCCACTGAATGTTTGACAAATGACAAACTCTGTTATGAGATAGACAACACATATGGGTACATTTTAAAAATCAGTGATATTGTTTTATAGTAATTCAACCAGATTATTGAACATTTGTATAACAGTGGACTGTATAGTATTTCAGTCCAAATGTTTCATTTTCGTATCATTAGTTTAGTCGGCTCTGTGGCTAAGTCGATGCGAACGCTTTGTAATGCCGGGATGCCTTGTTCGATCCCAGCTGTGGGCCATGCGCCTTGTGTTGGTTTCGACAGTGGTATCAAGAAAGCCGATCGTCCAGAAAGCAATGGCAAACTAGTGGACATAAATTTGCCTAGAAAAACCACACAACAGCCAAGGGCTGTTGGGGTTGGTTCTGCATAGTTCTGTAAAGGATACACAACTAACCATTCATCATTAATTTAAATTCTGCTGTAATGCACCTGCCAAGATACAGCAAAATGTGCGAGACAATAAATTTGACAATATACTGTTTGTATCCCTATTAATTAAGTCATTGAGCAGTCGCTAAACATGACAGTTTTTTTGAGTTTCCATTTACAAAGTCTTGATGAATCTCTTTCAAATCTGCAGATGATGGATTACTTCAGTGCCTTTGGTCTGGTGTTATACAACTTTTTTACACTGCTTTGTAGGTACGAGTTGTTTTATGTCGAGTTTAGAACTTTTCTCTTGGTGAGGGTTCAAGCGTCCTTAATGAATAGACCCACTGCCCCTTAAGAAGCATGTCACCTCATAAAACATGACGTATTGTGTAAGTAAAGGATCCTGTGCCATGCTGTCAGGCGTATTTGGCACATAGGGCTAGACCTATATTTTATTAGACGAGTCAGCACTCAGTGGGTGATGTGTAGTCAGCATCACCCTGCTGCCCTTACTGTACCCATTTAAGGCGGGGTCGGCCTGGACCTGTTATGGGTTGGGTTGAAACTTGATGTGCTGTGTCGAAAGGTGCAGATATTACAGCCTAGCTGTAACTACAACGCACCATGTCAGCTTCACTTTAAAGAGTGAAAGCAGAGGAAGAAGAACGGATCTTCTGCTCAGATGAAATGATCTTCTGCTCAAATGAACTTGTCAGAGAGAAAGTTGTCTGTTTTTCGACTCCAGAATTATGTGAGCAATGTAGTCATTAAAGCAACTGTTATTTGTGGTTAAATACAATATGGAGCTGGTTGAATGGTGGATTCCTCTACTTCTTTTGTTATTCTCCTTCCCCTTGTCTTTCTCCTTTTCCTGTTACTTTTCCTCCTCCTTTTTATTCTTCATCTTTTTCTTTCTTCAGTTCTTCTGCTGCTTGATTTCCCCAGAGGAGTGTATGCCCTCAACCTACTTATGTCAAGCCTTTTGTACACTTGTAACAGTTAGTTAGCTGTTGCTGCCAAAATTTTTCTACAGGATGCAAGTGCCATGCCAACACTTCTTGGTCACCTTTTATGACATACATGATATGTACAGTGCTACTGTTCTTTGCTTTCTCTTTAGATATCATTAACACGAGCAAAAGAATGGCTTATGGCCATGCAGTATGTCACATATATGACTAGTTATTAGTTCAGTCACCTTGTTTAAATGTTTTAATAGAATGAGTCATAGATGTTGTTTTTTGAGATGACTGTTGTAAACAGCCAAAATAAATATCAATTATCTGGACAAGGCTGATGAAAGCAAAATCTTATTCACAGCTAGAAAAAGAGAGAGACTTATTGTTCTGTGGTCATATAATTAGATTCCCATGTGGGTTCCGGGGCTCCGTTGTGGGAAAAACAAGAATAGACCCACTGCCTGCCCAAAAGCATGTCCGTAAGAGTCAACTGATTGGGAGCTTCCTTCAGAGTCAGAGTGCATCTGCCTGAGGCAAGGAACCAACAGTCTGCATACACATGAGTCAGATCTGTAAAACAAATTTGCATGCAACACTCAGGTGCTGGAACAGGACTAAAGTTCAAAAGTGGATGAACACCCAGAACTTTCTGCCAGAGTTTACAGCTGGTAAAGAAGAAGAAGAAGATATACTTAGAAAAGAGATATTGGAGAACCTTGTAATGATTGGAAAACTCAAAAGTAGAATAGGCAGAATAACACTGTGATAAATAATGCATGCTGAATATTCTTTGATGTGCATGACTGTAAACATCTCCTCCACTATCTTATGACAGAAGTATCTAAAAATAAACAGATGCAGGAGAAAATGGGTAGTGAATGAATAACTGCCACTTGAAAGGATTAAATTGCCATGCGCTAATGACAGAATCAGTAAAACTATGAAACTTGTCACCAGTATACATGTATAGCCGAAGACAGCAGAGCACATATTGTTGATGAATGAAGTGAATGTTAACAGCAAAAACTGCATTTTATGTAGTTTGAGAACTGTTAATATTTTCATGTTCAGATGTGAAGTAACTAAACGTCACTTGCTCAAGAAAGATTCATATATGTGTACACAGCCATCTTAACATAATTTTTGGCCCCTGGGCAAATCAGTGTGCTGAGGTCCCTACAACAACCACTCACAGGAATGATCTTTTTATTTATGGCAAATCGCTTGACATACACAGATGAGTATCGGGCCTCTATGCTTGCATTGAGTCATTTTTTTCAGAAATGACCTTGGCTCCCAGGTTGACTTAGCCTAAAATGTGTTCCATGAGAAGTCCTGGGAAGTAAAGGCGGCCGGAGTGATGTTGACCACATACCCACCGAGTGCTGATTAGTCAATAAAATATCAGTCTAGCACTAAATGCCCAATACACCTAATGGCATGGATAAGGGTCAGTATACTCTTGGGTCCGAGAAGAAAGTAACCAATGGGCCTATGAGTTAAGATGACACTGCTTGCATTTGCCAGGAAATTGTTTGTTTCCATACACAGGGTTATTGCAGCACGAACACTTCTTATATAATTTTGTTGTTGTTGAAATGCGTTTCTATTTTCACATTGAAATGTACCGTTACTGATAAGGAACTGTTTGTTGCCTCATACAGGGTTGTTGGGACAAGTAGGAGACCTGTTATAGCATTGTTTGCTCTACTGCTGATTGCATTGTATGCTTATCACATCCATTACCTGACCTTTGTTAATTTTGATTATGGCTACAACATGGTGGTAAATGTGACAGTTGGTAAGTCGTCGGTATATCATGATTTTTCTTCTTTTTTTGCTGCTGGTGGTTCTTCTTCTTATTTTTCTTCTGCTGTTGCTGCTGCTTCTTCTCCTCCCCCTTCTTCTTTCTTGTTCTCTGTTTTTCAAGATTCATTATTGCAGATATCATCCACCTCCATTTATCTCTGTGATTGGCTTTCTCTTTCCAGCTGGTGACTCAAGTCTAGGTCTGCCTATATATGATCTCTCCACAATCTTTGATTGACTTCGTCTGGTCTCAACTAGCTCACCTGTGTACTTAGTTTTTGCCTCTGTTATCTGCCATTCTCTCTATTTGCCCCAACCATTGAAGTCAGTTAGCCCTCATAATGCCAGTAAGTAGTGGTAATTTCAGAGGTTGATTACTCTTATTGCTGCTTCTCTCTCTTCATTCATTGTTGTTTGCATCTTTGATGGGTTCAGAAATTTGGCATTAAGAGTGTTCTCAACAGTTTGTAATGTGCTGTTGTCTCTTTTAGAAGTACTCCAGGTTTCAGAGCTATATAGGACAGTTGGTCTTATCAGTGTTTTATACATTGTAATCTTGGTGTTATAAGAGCTATTAGATTTATCAGATGTTGTAACCATCAGGATTCTGAAAAAAAAAAAAAAAAAAAAACATTTAGTCATGGTGTCCACTAAACATATGTTGACCTAGGTTCTGAGTTCAGATCCCTATCATGATGGAATTATTTTATGATGACCGGATGGGGGTTGTAGTAAAATATAAATGAAGAATTATATGTGTTTTTTTTGTGTGTGCCCAGTGTCCATTCTACTACTTGTAGTTATGTTCTTTTAAAGCTGATCCTTTCTGTTTTGTTTCTATCTTCTTACCTTGGTGGAGATCACAGCCTTTGTGCAACAGCTGTGAGATGAGCACTTGGCTCAAATTATTTCTATACATTGTCATCGTGACAGAAATTTTGTGTTTGTGTACGTCAATAAGTGGGCAATAAATCTTGTCTTCCAATCTCAGTGGGGGTTCCCCCTTGGTTTAGTGAGTGCAATAAAATCATAACTGAATGATCATTAAATGAGGCCGAAAATAAATCTCAAAAAGATTAGTCATGAAAAACTTTTTAAAAATCCATTATTCATTAAGCAGAAAATATTAACTCATTAAGTGCTTAGAGTATATTTACGTACTTTACTTACTGCTACAAAATAAACAAAGGTCACATAAAGTAACTGAATAAGTGAAGTAAAAGTAAAGATCCCTTTTCACACCTTTAGGCGCATCGGGCATATGGGAAGAGCACCCATATTTTTACAGACAATCGGCACTAGGTGGGTAATGTGGTCAGCATTACGCCGGCCATCTTTACTTCCCCAGGACAGCCATCCTGGTACCCATTCAAGGCTGGGTCGACCTGCAACGCCCCATACCATGATAAAAATCCTTTAAAAACCTCCTTTAGTACCAAGAACTCAAAATATGTTTGCGGAATACTCCTCACATGTTTTGCTTCTGTCTTTTTTTTCTTTATCTCAGCTGATCTTTACATTAATTCACCATCTTTACATTAATTCACTCTATCCCATTTAATGTCCCACGTGCTGGTTCTGAGGCCCATTTGGGGGGTGGGGAAAAGAGAACAGAGATGCTGCTGGCTAAGTGGTTACATTGTCGGCCTCTCAAGCTGGAGACCCGTGTTCGACCACCCCGGTAAGGTGATGGAGTTTTTCTGTCGAGGGCAAAATTAAACATCCTAACATGCACAGTCCATTGCAACAGCACTAGCCATTTAGTCCTTAATCCTGAGGCTCACGACCCTCCTTTCTACAACGTCCTTAAAAAGGTTGTAAAACAGACAGTAGTGACAGTTTTTTGTTTTTTTTCTCTTCATTTTCCAGAAAATAGACCCACTGACGCATTAAAAAAAAATTAGTTACGTAGTCTTTACAGGACGTACCAGAACCAACACCAGAATTTTTTTTATTTTTGCTGTTGCAGTTTTTTAAGGCAGATTTATGTTCAGTAGTTTGCCATTCCTTTCTGAATGGTCATCTCTCGATACTACTGTCATAACCAACGCACGATTGTCGGCTGCCAGATCGTCTGCAGCTGGGATCAAACCCGGCACCCAAGCATTGAATAAATGTCTTGTCCTGTTTCACAATGACCTTAAACTTAAATGGGGTTTTCTTCAATTTTGGAAAGAAATTTACTATTTTTGTGTATGTGCAATGTCATTTATTTTAATAAAGTTGGCGACTTAATCAATATCCTGTCCTGTTTCACAAGGAACTTAACTCGACTTGACCTCAGTTTTGAAAGATATTAAGAATTTCTAGGAGTTTCATTTCTTATTTTGATCAATTTGGCGCCTTAATGAATAACCCGTCCTGTCTCACAGGGACCTTAAATGGGCTTGGCTGGATCCTTTGGTGTGCTTACTACTGGAAGAGGAAACCGTATGTGAAGAAGTGTTTGTTTGTTATATTGGGCCTGAATGTCTTGCTTCTGCTGGAGCTAGGAGACTTCCCGCCGATACTGTGGACATTTGATGCTCATGCCATTTGGCATGGAGGGACTGTACCTCTGACCTTTCTTTGGTATAGGTGAGTTTATTAGTCTACAGCAGCGGTTCTCAACCTGTGGGTCGTGACCCTTGGGGGGGGGGGGTCCCACCCAAATATTACAGGGGTCACCGAAGACCATAGGAAAACACATATTCACTAAATATGAAGTAGCAACGAAAATAATTTTATGATTGGCGGTCACCACAACATAAGGAACTGTATTAAAGTGTCACGGCATTAGAAAGGTTGAAAACCACTGGTCTGCAGTGAGTTAAATACGGATAATAATTATATTTTGCATGTGTGCACACACTCAAACATATGTGCATACCTTCTCAGAACACATGCACTGACACACACATACACATATAATAATTTTATCATTATACATTTCTGTCTTCCCTTTCCTATTGTTCTTCTAATCCTCTTCCTGTTTTGGTCAGTTGTTTTTTTCTCCTCTTTACCTTGTTTCTCTAACTCTTCCTCGCCTCTTTATTTTCTTCTTCTGTTTAACTTTTTTCTCATTATTTTCTTGTTGTCTATCTCTCTTCTTGTTCCTCCTTCATCATCATCATCAACTTTGTTTTCAGCTCACTTTTTCCTTATCATCATCATCATTATTATCTTCTCCATTATCCTTATATCCAAATTTCTCCTCCTTTTTTCCAGTTTAAATTTCTTCAGACATATCTTTCTCTTTTTGTCTTAGCTTTTCTTGCCTAAAATTTTCTAAAATAATACTGATTACTTTATGTCACCTCTCCTGTTTAGCCCCATTCATTTCTTCTGTCTTTTCCTGATTGTTTTTGTGTGTGGTTTAGTAGCACTTTCAGCTCTCAGTACTTAAGAATTTCTTCTTTATCTTGTGTTCGCTTCCATGATTTACCAGACAAATGAGTTCTTGTGATAAAATTCACAATTTTTTTTTTAAAGTTCCCCTCTAGTTCCATGCAACTTCAATTATAGTGTGAACCCACTGGGCCAGAATTCACTTCTTAATGGGCTGTATTAAGGAACAGTTGTGAGGACATGTTCTGCAGTGTCTGCACAGCACACATGGGCACAGTTGTCATCTACTAAGACAAAGCCTGCACATATGATAGTTAAGTTTGTTATGCCCTGCCCTGAGGCGTAGAATGATGACCTGTCCATGCCGGTCAGGTTAGTGGTAGTCATCACTGGCCCAATTCTGCTCACTTGTGTTAGATAAAGACGGTTAATCAGTATTTAATGTCCAGGCTCAAATACGTGAGCACGTATGATTAGCTTAAAGCCTGGATCCTAATTTTTCCATTTTATATTATGACACTGTGATCGCTTCTTCTCTGTATTTCAGGCAAACTTAAGAATGTGGAAAATAGTCTCGGTGGAAAATAGTCTCTGCATATGCTGCCAAAAATTACACCTTCACATACATATTAAGTAAAGAAAATAAAGACCCTTTTACATATCTTCAGGCGTATTAGGCATCCATGGCTAGATCATTATTTGATAGACCAATCGACACTTAGTGGGTGATGTGGTCAGCATCACACCGGCCACCTTTACTTCCCATGGCCTGTACCTGGTACCAACTCAAGGCTGGGTCAATCGGGGAGTCAGGGTCATTTTGAAAAAGTCAGGCTCCTACATACATATTAAACATAATAATTTCCTGCCTTATCTTAACTCCTGTTTTATCACGCAACTCTCCATTAGTATTTTTTTCTTTCAACTCACATTAAACATTTTTCTCGCTCTTCATGTCGCATCAAATAGTTACATTACCCATTCTGCTTCACTTGGTTATCTCCTTCTTTCTCACTTGTAATTATTTTAACTCATTTGAACCACAGATTTATTAGTTGAGGTGAATACTTTCTGGGGTAGAATTAGTTAAAATGTATCTGCTTGGTGCTGAAAAAAAAAAATTCTCGAGTTTTTTTTTAACATGATGCTCTAGATCAACCAGTAAAATATGGTACTAGTAGCTCTCTGTGGCTCAGTCATTGTGAACACGTGTCGTAATGCCGGGTTTGGATCCAGCTGCAGGTTATTTTTTTTTTGTGGGTCTTGCGTTGGTTTCGACAATGGTATTGAGAGAGTAACGACAAAATACCGAATGTAAAATTTGCCTAGAAAAACCACACACCAAAACCGCTGGGTTTGGTTCTTCAATGTCCTGTAAAGGATACATAACTAATTAATAGCTCATAGCTTAATGTCAAAATGTATCTTGCAACGTCAGCAAAAATTTGTTGTGAATAATTACTGGCCTGGTTTGGTCATAAAAAGATAATATCAGAGAGACAACAACTGATCACAGAAAGGTGTTGAATGGGAGTAGACTATGAGGCAGATCAAGAAGATTGTGGAGAGATAATGAACTGGCAGTCTCACAAACACTTGGAATCACCACCTGGAAAGAGAAGGCCAATAATGTAAATGAATGGAGGTGGGTGAATATCTGCAGTGAACCTGAAGGGATTAAAATGCTGAAGATAAAGAAGAAAACTTACAGTCTGAATTTTTACACATGATAGATATGGTGCATTCCATGCAATTTTTCTTCCCCAGCTTTATCATTGATGATGCATTAGACAAGCTAAGCCAGGAGGATGTAGCAGACGTCAAAAAGATCGCTTGATGAACTCATCATTTACCATGATGGTGATCTAAACAACTAAGTCTTACCTCAGCCACTTGTTCCAGTGGTCAAGATAGTTAGCACACATAGTTTTTTTTTAAACGTTACTTTGCCAATCTGCCTGGTATCTGCTTCACTATGATCTGTCACTAACTTTAATTCTTTCAAGCTGTCACTCCCACCTGGCCCTTTCTTTTCTCATAGATTAATTAACAGTGGTTTGTCTGTCGTTGTCCAAGAAAATAAAAAGAAAAAAAATATCTTGACTGTCATCTGTTTTTAACACTGATTCTTTCTGGTTGTCACACACATCTTTATTCACTGTCTTCTCATGGGTAAATGTTTGTTGTGCTTTATCCGTCATCACCAAAAAGGGACCATATTGTCATTTATGAGAGTTTTAGTGGGTCTGGAGATGTGACTTTAGACCATTCTCAGCCTGAATGTCCATCACACTAAGGGTAGAGTTGACAGAATGAAGAGTTAATAGAATGGAGATAACCTTTTCACCTCAAGAAGACTAGATCTAGTTATTTCCGTTTATGGCAAATCCATATTAAATGCAAATATATTGGCATTTCTGCGGTGATCTGTTCTTGAAAGCGTAGTTAAATGCTATTGGTTCTGTTTGTGTGTACACAGTGTTTAGGTGGCCCAGATTTGAAAATCTTTTTTATTTTATCTCTGACATCTACATTCTTCCACATTGTCTGTTTTTCTTCAGTCTTTCACTTTTCTTGGATAAATGTAATCCCTTGGTAATTACTGCTGATGGCAGTTAGGACTTAACTTTTAATAAGTTAAAGCATAAAGTTGAATGATTAGTTGTTTGTTGTTACCACAGTTAAGACCACAAGTCTGCTTTTTAGAAGTGTTATGTCAAAATCATGTTACAAAGTCAGTCAGTTTGCCAAGCTTAGTCCACAATGTTTAATATACAATAATTATTTACACAGAATAATTTGAGCTTTAAAAATAATTGTTTGCTCCTGCTTAAATTTTGAATGAGATAATGTATACTAATTCAATTCTTTCAGCGTGCCATTGAAAATCGCTTCATCTTTCACACTTGGGATGCATGCCATATGTTGCCAATGACTTATTTAGATCATTTAATTCTTTCAAGGACAGGAGTGTGCGGTGCAAGATATTGAGTTTTTGTGTGTGTATAGGTCAAATGGATTGTTAGTTCATTTTTTATGATTTTGCTATTTCTGAAATTTCAGTGGTCTTTGCCTGCCAGCCCGATGGGTATGTATTCAAATCTGTACTTGAGGCAGGGATTTCAAAAATAAAATTGACCTGTGCTCCCAGGTCTACCAAGCCTTTAATTGGTACTAGGAAAAGTTTTAGGAAATAAAGGCAGCTTGGCTGATATTGACTTTATTGTCCTTTCTGTGCCGTTTAGTCTGTAACAGCTGAGGCTAGCACCATGAGTCTTCTTCTTCTTCTTCTTCTCTCTACTTCGGAAATGCCTCGCAGTGTCAGGGCAGGAAGAGATCTCTAGAATGAGCCCTTCTGTTCACTTTGTATAAAGTACTTTTCAGTGTCTCTGATATTTCTGCGGTCCATATTCTGGGTGGTCAACCTCTGGACCTGTTACCGTTGTAATGAATCCAGTGTGACACAGACATTTTTTTTCTTCTATACTAGTGTTTTGCACCATTATACAGGGCCATTTTAAATATATAAGCAGAGAACAAAATTTATACAGTGTGTAAAAAGAAAAAAGAACAAATCATGATTACTGACTCCCAGTTACCAACCCCAGGTATGGTTGTCTAGTTTGCAAGAGTTAAACAGAGCTTATCAGAATTGTGTGCATTTATTCTCATTATCCTTTTCCAACAACAATAGCCATTGCTGCCCATCAAGCAATGGATCGCAAACTGTTCCTCCCCACAACACTTAACGGCACAAGTGGACATTGATGATGATGATGATGATCCTAATCAAATTTTTTGTACTGCTTTTTTTTTTTTAGATGATGAGAGAATCTGTGGCTAGGGGTTACTAAAATAGTTTCATAATCCAGACATACTGGGCTTAGATTCAGCTGCAGGCGATTTGGCAGTAGATCTCTAGGCATTGATTTCAACAGTGGTATAAGCACCGTAGAAAGCGCGTGCAGACTGCTGTACCCAAAACTGCTCTAGCAGTAAAACAACAACGGCCAGCAAATGCTGGGGTTTCTTGATTGCCTCTCTTGAAGGATGTCATCTCATTTTTGTAAGTTCATCAGTTAATGTTAACCTAACAGAAATGTGCAGCAATGACATAGACCTCATCATCACCATCAAGTGCCTTGCCAGCTGGTGTAGGCGTTCATGCATCTACACAGATTTTGATCTTTGGTGTTCTGGATCAGTTTCACTGATGATATTCCTCCATGTCACTGTCTTAAGCCATCCACCATAATTTATCTTTGTCTGCCTCTGCCTCTTCTACCACTGATCTTTCCAGTCGTCACGATATTTTCCAATGCTCCTTTTCTCATCACATGACCAAAGAACTTTGTTTTTCTCCTATTGTTGTATATAATGTTCTACATTCATTACCCGTTTCAAGGCCATCATTGTTAGTTATTCTGACAGTTCAAAGGTCATAAAGTTTACTGTTAAAAAATAATAATCAGTATTTTGTTTTCACAGTTCGTGCTGCTACCATAATGCTGCTACAACACAGATAGCTTATTTATTTATGCCAGAAAATATTCAGTTTTATTTTAGTGATAAGCCACACCATTATCATCATCATCATGTAGCAGGTCCCTTGCAGTACATCGCTCTCATCGCAGTCTGCCCGAAGGAAACTCAGTCTCTTGCCAGATCTCCCGCCTCTTTCACTTTCCTACCCAAGGTATCACTCGTATTCTGTGCCCATCTTCATGCTGGTCAGCTGTTGCCCCTTTTACTTAGTACCATGCTTTCTGTTGTTATTTTTTCCAATCTGCCATGGCACTAAATATTTAAATTTTTGAGACAGGATGTTGCTTACTAGTCAATATTCCTTGAAGTTCAGATCTTTTAGGATGTTAGTATTTCTTTTCTTCTTGGTCCATGGTGTTCTGAGAATCTTTCTATGGTGTTTTTCAGCTCAGAGGCCTCTATTTTCTTCCTTAACTCTTTCAAGCCCATGAATTTTCACAGACTTGGCTCACATTAATTTCCCTTTACAAAAATGGCAGAGATGGAGGTGTACAATAAAAGCAATAGAAAGTGTAATATATTTCTAATCCCTACAAAAGTATACATTTTTGTAAAGAGGAATGAATGTACAGTTTGAATCTGATGATAAGTATATGTTTAATACTATTATAGTTAGTAGAAAGGATGAATTTAGCAGGTTTCAAGTTTACAAAGGCAAAATTTTACCAAAAAATTTGTCACTTACCATGGTTTAGCCACAACAATAGCACTGAATATCCAAATTTGAGAATAAAACTTTAAAGTTTGTTCAATTTCCTAACAAATTCCAAAGTTATGATAAGTTTCTGGATTAGTTTAGCAATCAGAGGCTCTAAGTTCTCATAGAGCGCTGAACAAAATTTCCAAGAAATGTGGACCATTATATACTCACTATTTTAAAATTTACTTTGTACAGTTGTATACAGACTGTAGCTGCAATGATTTCAATGTAGCTTAGCCATAGCATGGTACTGTCTATTTCTTTGGAGTACTTTCTTTCTCTTACACCCTAAAAACAGTAGCTATGGAACATTGTCTGTATCAGACTCATCAGAGTTGCTAGATTTCATTGCTCAGCTGTCGCAGGCGTAAATTCACAGCCCGAATCACTTTCCGAAAAATCTAAATTTTCGCTATCCTTGTCAGAATTAAAAACATCTGACTGAAACAATTTCAGAGCTTCGGTAGCAGAAAGACGCATTTTGCGGCCTGCACTTGTGGTTTTAACATTGGTATCCATAGCGTCAAACATGAATTACAAAATGCTGCATCTGGAAATGACACTGGCAATGAATGAGATCAGTTTGTGACCACTCGTGGGGAATGGTAGTTCCAAAACATTAGAAACGAATACGGAACCGTATGTGTATGAGTGTGTACAGGACACACGCTCGGTGCTGAGAGTCTTGTTTGGGAAATCAAAACCACCCAATCAACAGTCACAGCAATGCTCAGGCCTTGAAGAGTTAAGTAGTTTGATTAACTCATTAACTGCCTTAGCTGTTTTAGGACCTGTTATAAGCTGTACCTAGTTCCTTACTGTGTAAAGCAATAGAACATGAACAGTGACAGTTCTATGCTTTTTCCCCAAAAAATCAGACATGCAATGTTGTGATAATAAATGTATGTATTCTTGGTAATTTTTGTATTGTTATTGTTACATAATTGATATATGTAAAGACCACGCCAACCTATGCAGGCACAATGTAAACAGTAAATATGCTGTTGTCTTGAGTATTTTGCTATTCTTGTCTGAAGCTGTGACATAACACATGAAACAAGACACATATTGGGGACATTCATATGGAATGCAAGCATCCATATTTGAGTGTTAAAAATCCCCAGTGGGTACACTAGGCCCAATATTTTGTGGGGATGAGGGGGGGGGGGCGGTGGAGGGGAGGGATTAGACCCACACATCCCATAACAAGCATGTTATAATAAACTTCTAACTAGGTCTGTTTTCTTGAAGACTGGGTGCATCTGTCTGATAGATGAGGAACCAACAGTCTGCATAGAAATATCCAGATCTGTAAGAAATATTTGCAGGCAGAACTCAAGTTCTGGAACAAGAGTAAAGTGGAAAAACAACCAGAACTTTCTGCTGGAGTTTACAGCAGGTGAACTAGAACTTTCTGCTGGAGTTTACAGCAGGTGAACCAAAACTTTCTGCCGGAGTTTACCAGATCCAGAAGAATAAGAATATAGAACTCTTAAGAACTGAACATCTGAGAAGTATGTTAAAAACATGTGATCACTACAGTAGTCCTGAAATCCCATGCTGTAATTATGGAAGACTTTTCATAATGTTAG